GATATATTGAGATACAAATCAGGCACGTGCAAATACATGTAAACAATTGGTGTCGAATTGTGAACTATACAGATGTCATGAGATTAAAACCAACATGGTACCTTCATGTCATGCATAGGAACCATAAAGATAGACATTGAAAAATTCAGAACACCCATTTCCGGTGTGCATCATATACAATACGAACGTAAAACATTTACTAATTATAGCTATATTGAGATACAAACCAGGATACATCGGAAAATACAGATCAGTTGAAATAGCAAACACAGATGTGTACTGTAGAAACTATAATATCCAGACACACCCATAGAAAACAACGTTCAAAGTTTTTATGAGACGGTGTCTTAATTTACCCTGACAACGAAGGATTAAGCATGTGCCCAGTGAACAACACTACTCCAGTCGTATCTTCTCTGATTACAAAAGCAAACGGATGATCAGCTACGAAATCAAAAGGACCTACTGGCAAAGACCTCAAGGTCACCACAGCAGCAGAAGCTCCAGCAGCTTCAGTTCCCTCCTCGTTAACTTCAATAAAACATTTGTGGAAGATCGAAGAAACATAAAGATTATTTCCCTGAGGTGAATCCACCATTTCTGTCAAATCTCCATCCCTGGAGAAAGGCAGAACCAAACCTAGACCTTTAAGGGTTTCTGATGCTTCGAAACCGAATGAGATTTTGAATTTCGGGATCTTGAACTTTTCTACTAAGACCTTTTGACGTGGGAGATGGCGTTCTAAGAACTTGGATTCATTACTCATCTTATCTAATAAATTCCATAATCCATCTTTGGCATTTGGTAGAAAAATGCACATAGAGAACTGCCTCTTATCATTGCCTTGCTTGTATGGAAGCCTTAGGACTGAGAAGTCATCGTAGGAGGATACATACTGTTTCTCTTTAGTAGTCATGAATGGTACTTGTATAGAGCCTCCTTCAAGTAAGAAGAACTCCGAATCTTCGGTTTCTGTGGAGTTGAACTTTCTTTCCCAGGCCCCTTTGAAGTATAGTGCATTGCCAAATACTAACCTAGTGTTGCTGTCAACAGATCCAGAAGGAAGTAGCTCCTTTATAAGACCAGCAGTCTCACTTTCAACCCATGAATTCACCTCATTTGATGCATCAACGAACTATACAAGTGAAAGCAACATAGTAAATATAATTATCAAAATATCTGTTTCTAAAACATTAGTGGTTCAGAGACAAAAACATCATGAAAAAAATAAATCAATCATCTAAAATAGGATTATGTAATATACTACAATTTCAGGAAGAAAATAAATCAATCATCTAAAATAGGATTATGTAATATACTACAATTTCAGGAGACTGGAACTTGTAATAATAATAATAACGTAGTTGGGCATTTTCCGATTAATCATTGATTCTTACTTAAGAGTATGAGGTAGAACCAAGTGAAAGGATCACCAAAAGAACAACACAAAAATGAGAAATACCTGCTTCTTTCTCCTCTCATTCCCATTGTTTGAGAGTACTGCAGGTAACTTCAACATTTAAATTTAAGATTGGTCTCTTTGATATTGTCATTATTGGCATTTCACTAAGGTGACGCAACAAACCATGTATGATTGACTTATAACTAATGAATACCATTGAGACACTGAATGAGGAGATAGAGGTCAAAGACTTGTGCAGATTTTGGATAGACAATGCAGCAATATTACTTTTAAGTCATTGGCCCACATTTGTTCCTCTTCAAGCCATATGCCTTCAATTTGTGCTCAGATACCCATTATTAATGCCCCACTGTCCAACCAATGTAGGGTCATCCTGAATCATAATCAAGCTTATGGTCTTAGGCGAGAAAAGGCTTGTGCAACAGTAGAGGGGGTGAATAGCCAAAAAGAAAACCATGATTTGTGACTCGGAAAGCAGTATCGAAACAGACTAGTTATCAGAGGAAATGATACACGCTCGCAAACTTCGCGGTCTTTGCTAAACCACATGATACATTTAAGGGCAAGTTTCACAAAAAATAACTCCCTTAAAACTTTGGGGCATTTAAGGACAATATCTACATCATGGCTATTTAGGGCTGTTGTAACTATGTAGATATATGTAACTTATTCAAGGTTTCAAATCCCAGCATCAATCATGGTTTCTATTTCCAATTATTTGTCTCTGTATCAAGAGGTCCGACACTCGATTTATCAGTATATGAAGAAGTAAGATGATTCATTGGCGTCGTATTCTTATTTCTCCCAATATAACTAACTCTCAAATTCCTCTTCCAATAATCATTATTACTTGTTAGCATGACTAGAATATAGTGCAATACGAATTTGCTATTCCTTGATACTTCAAATCTTGATTTTTATCTTCCAGCTAGATTATAAATAAAACTTTTTTTCCCATCCTGGTGCCTAGCACACAATAATTCTTCTTTATCCCATTTAATCCATAGAACTTGATCATAAAAGAGAAATTTGGGAAATGAGCAATGTTAGCTGAAGGAGCAATGGGCTGAAACGACCCTTTAAAATCATCAAACAAACGACCCATTAGAATCATATTTTTGAACTTGGGTACGGGCTGAAACAAACCCCATCCATGTCTATTGAGTTTTAAGAAAAAAATGTTAGGTGTAGAATACACGTCCAAGAAGTATATGACAAATGTTTAATTAAAACATACATCATATATGTATGCAAATATCGGAGGAGCGTCCATGAAGTTTCGGTGCAGGTTCTTGTTATGTATGAGTACATGTATATGAGTACAGCTTCATGATTCAAGTACCTGGGTAACATAGACTAGCAATGAATGAGGAAGGACCAGAATTGGTTTTAAAGTTATAACTCAAATAAGAGTAGTCTAAATATTTAATAAATAATTAAATTAATTTACTAAGTATCCGAATCTATTGCTTCAGAGCTAGAGTGAAGGTAAACCAAGGGTTGTGTACGGTTTGGAGGTAAATTAACATGATAATTTGAGGGATTTAAAAAAATTATGATTTTTTTTTTTTGGTTGGGGGGGGGGGGG